TTAAGCACCCTCATGCTGGTACTTAGAGGCAGCTGCTGTGATTTTGAGGAATTTAGATAACTGGCTGCCCTGAAGCAGCCACCCTTCCCTGAGGGGACAGTGGTCCTCTCTGTTGGATTTTCTATGATGGACTTGGGGTAGTCTTGACCTGTGTTGCCATGGCAGGCCCTTGGGATACAGCTCTTACTGAGCTCTCAGCATTCTTCAGACCTCTGCAGGAAGGAGGAGATGACAGTACATGCAGCCGAAACTGCCACATCTCTAAATCGATTAGCTTTGGGGATAAAGCTAAATAAAACAATCATTGATGAAATTTCTAATTATTCTTTCCTAATTTGGGCTAAAAGTGCAAAAGGAGTAATACCAGATTAATTTCCTCTTTTGAACTCAATATCCCTGTGGGCCATTGCATTTGCATGCATGAGTAAGGCGTTAGTGTAATATATAGGATGTGCAGAGCTTTTCTTCCAAAGACTGATGATTCCATAACCCCAAGGAGTAAACTGTATTATAGACTGTTAACTTAAAGAAGGTTTATCCACTGATCAGCTAATCAGAAATCATTCAGGCAAGAATATTCACAGAAATTATGGGTTTTGTTCCTTATTTTTTAATGAAAATTGCATCGTTTTCCATTTTGAATAGAATAAGCTGCTGCAAGGAAGGGCAAATTCAAAGTCATAGCTAATGGGCACTGTATAACTGTTTAATGCTTTGTTTGTATATTAATCTGGTGATTTTAGAGAATCATTTCAGCTCTGTAAATTCTGCATTCATTGTATTTGATCATGCTACATTGCCAACTATATGTATTACTGATCTGAATTGTATCTGGATAGTGACTATAAAGATTACCTCCATTTAAGATTATTTTGAAAGTATGGACCATCAATCCAGAACAATCCTTCAGCTCCTTACACCACTACAGGCTCTAGGAAGAGTTAGCATGTCCCCCATGAGACTAAGACATGACTTATAAATGGGGCCATTAGTGATGTGGCTCCTTCCTCTGATCCTGTTACCCATTATTTCCAAGTGACAGAAAACGCACATGAAGTTCACTGTACATCAGAGCTATGAAGCCAGGAAATAATCACCCTTTAATATTTTGAGTACAATAGAGTCAGGGTGTTTTGCCATTGCTAATGAGCTATATAAACTCTATAAAGAAAATAGTATTTCACATTTTCCAAAGGACCCAGTGAGTTCATTCTTTTGTAAGGAGAGTTTCTTATTTTCACTTGTTGAAGTCAACTATTTTTGCATGATTAAGTTTTATTTTCAAATAATAAGGACCTTAGTAGAATATTGAAAATTGAAGCTAAGTAAAAGTCAAGACATACATATTAAATAATATTCTTGTTTATGGTGGGAGAACTAGACACTGGAGGAAGCAGAAGTATGTGAAACTAGAGTGACACAGCAGTTTGAAATTCTGTTCCAAGATTCTTTGGACAAAACCTTTGGCAGCCACCCAGATCATGTTAATTGCCTTTTTGTGTATACATTTCTATACACCAACTCATCATTTTGGCTTAAATTATAGACATTATAACAAGGTTGGAAAATATTTAAATGGCCCTCCCTTCCAGGATTGTCTTGTGGAGCTACTAATTTTTTTTAGCACAAGCTATTATTTTGTCTTTACCATATTTTTCTAGAGTATTATTAATGTTTGTAAAACAAGCCAGATAAAGATCATCACAACAGCCTTTAAAATATCCTGGTAATGCAGTAACATTAAAGGCATTTTAAATCCCCCCTCTAGAGATAATAGTAATTTTGAACTTCAGATCTAGAATACCGTATGGCTTATGCTAGCAGAATACCAAGAATACCCCGACTTCTAAATCAAGAGAGCAGATTTCTCCCTGGGCTCTTTTCCCCTGTCACAGCCCCTGTATTTCAGTGACAAATGTCCATGGTCCATATAGGAATTTTATGAATCACTAAAGTCAGAATGTGGAGCAAAAAGAACTATCCATGGTGGTAGTGCCTGTAACCCAGACATTTGGGGAACAGGAATCACAAGTTCAAGGCTAGCCTAATCTCCAAAGATATCAATCTAGGCTAGGCCCTGTCTTTTAAAACTTGCTAAGTGAAACAGTGAGAGAACATTTTCTGTTCCTCCCTCTGTGAGTGACCAAAATTTGGATTTGACTTAGTATGTGTGCCAGAGTGGAGGCAAGTGTCTTCCCAGGTCACATGGGTTGCCATCACATGGTGTGCACTCCATCCTCTCCCCAGGCCAATCTGCTGGTCTTTGCAGATTTGCCTATGAGACCTAGGGTTGAGCTGTGTCCCCTCTGACTTCTCCAAAAACTTCCCAGTTGTATACTTAAGAACCAGCACAGCTATTCATGTTATATGTAATTTTTACTGAAATACATTAATTCTGTGTGCTGAAAGATAATCAAAGCCATCCTCTCATATGCCCGCTTATCCTAAATCCAGCTGCCTTTCTCTTAGCATGATGTTTGTGTGCTGTTCATGTCCTTGCTCCTTGTGTAACTCAGCAGAGATAGAAAAGAATGTGATTTTTCTTGTCATACGAATACCAGCAAAAGGATCAGTATGCCCCCAGTCTTCTCCTGACTCATCACATACTAGGAATAATTGACACTTCTGAGTATGCACATGTTCTAATCTCATGAGCTGAAAAGAACCAGTTCCTTCCATTCTGGGAGGTATTTGGGACTTGTACACTGCATCCTGTTTGCTTCCTTCTCCAGGATGAAGCTGTCAGTCTGTCTGTCTAATCCCGATATGGCCTATGTTGCAAATTAGTTTCTAATACCTCTCCACAACCAAGGATTTTGTAGTTTTGCTTAATAGGCTTGACTTTGTTTAGTGATGCAAAGTGTAGAATAAAAAATGTTAGTGTCATGACAACAATGACCAATGGCTACATGCACTGGCTGTCTGGCTATGAGTTAACAAAATTTGAAGCTAGCTTTTCTTTCCATTTGAGTAATCTTACAACATCCCTTTCATTAAACTAACTATAAAATAAGACTAACCCATATTCTAAGAAGTGAAAATTTAGGACATTTTCTAAAATGAATGTAAGACTTTAGGACATTTTCTAAAATGAATGTAAGACTTTCACTTCTCTGTGTTCCCTTTTATTAGGTATATCAACCATACTTCTGAGCTTTAAAACAAAACCTGAACTTGGCTCACAAAGGAGACAGAATAAGAGTGAGGCTAGCCCAGAGTTTCCCCGCACCAAGGTTCCTTGTCACTTAGATTCCCGCATTCATCAGCAGCCAGGCACTAGAGGCAGTGCAGGGCTAAATAGATTTGCCATGTAAAGAGGGATGGCTTGGAAGTTTAGGGGCACCAAGATGAGCACTTAAAAAAGAGTTTGTGTTAAAAAAAAGAAAATCAGATTTCCAGCAGTCTTGCAGTTGCAGGCTCAGACGTGACAGCCATTATGCCTGCCACCTCTCTTCCCCCATCCACAATGTCAGATGTCTCCCTGGTTCCTTCTGCTGACATGGCCAGCTTCACCTTATCACTGTTCTCCCCCCATGTCCTATTCTTTAAGACTCAACTCTGGGCTCCCCTCCGAGAGGCAGGGGTCCTGTGATCCAGAGGATGCTACAATGTAGATCCCTGTGCAAGATACTCCAGGAAGTCTCTCATGTCCTGTGATGTCTAGGATGCTACAATGTAGATCCCTGTGCAAGATACTCCAGGAAGTCTCTCATTTACCTTGGCATCTACATACCATGCTGGAATTTCTTTCTGCTTCCTACTTCTGCTCTATAGAGTCCTTGAGGAAACTGATTTGTTGTCACAGCAGGCTTGTAACCATGTGCCATTCATAGTCACTATTGCATATCAAATAATGTGCAATAAACGTTAAGTCTAAACCAAAATCATCGTATAAGAATGTGAACTGACAGGTAGGAGAACATTTGACTTTATTTGAATTACCATATATATTTTGAGGTTTTTAAGTGTTTATCCAGAAACAAACTATACCCTAGAGTATGATCATATCTCAAGATCCACTTCATGTTTGGGGCTAAGATGATGTTTCTGTGGGTAAGAACACTTGCTGAACAAACGTGAGGATCTGAGTTCATATCCCAACGCTGCACATAAAAAGCTGACTGTAGCTCCATAGTCCAATGACCCTGGTGCTATGGGGAAGCAGAGACAAGAGGATCTCTGAGCATTTGACCTCTAGCCTCTAGCCTTGTTCCAAGTTCAGTAGAAGATCCTGACTCAAAGGCATAGGCAACAAGAGTGACAAGAAAAAGGCACCTGATGTCCCCCTTGCTGGCCTCTGCATTTGCACTTAGTGATTCATGCTCCACTGGCACACACATAAACCATACACAACACATATTTTTTAAAATCACTTTTTAAAAAGTATTTTCTGAGATAAACCATCCAACAATACATTTGCAGCTCATGCCTTTGAGGTTTACATAACATAATTTTATATTTGTAAGCATAGATTAAGTAAGACAGGCAATGAGTCAGCACCTTAGGAAATAAATATAGTGTCAATATACACCTAAGGAAGTCTAGGAATTGGAGGGAGGATTTGGAAAAGGATACAAGTACTTAATAAAGAAAAATTTATCTCCTATCCAAATAGATTTTTGAGTATAATGTGAATATGTAAAATGCCATGGCATCTCAATTGAAATGTTTAAAAGCTGTATGTGGCTGCAGGGAGTGAGTAGTGTTTGGGCCGGCTCACATGGACAAGTATGCATTGCTGCATAGCACCTGGACCTTCTAAATTATGTTACCTGGAATACATAGTGTCTCTGACTTATGTCAATACAGTTTTCAGGTTAAAGATAGGAGTTAAAGCTTAGAATCAGTACCCTGAAAATACAATTTGTGATATTATGATATCTAGAGTTGACTCATAGCCATACCATCGAAGAAATGTAAACTTTCCCAATTCTGGCATTTAGAAGCTTGGACAATGGAATTCACCTGACCTGTGTCTTCCCATGTCTTCTCTTCCTTAGTGGTATTGGACGGAACTGGCCCTGGGCCTCTGGAGGCAGCAGTATTCTGGCAGAATTTGGAACTTTGCATTTGGAGTTCATGCACTTGAGCCACTTATCTGGAAACCCCATCTTCGCTGAAAAAGTGAGTCTTGCAAACACTTGTGAAAAACAAATAGAAAGTAACAAGGTTTGTGTAACATGGGAAACTGTAATGTGTATTATTTTACTTGATCAGACTGTCAACTTAGTCTTTCCATGATACTGTGTAACCCATGGTGAGAGGGCCTGCCTTCCCCATGTAGGGGAATCCTGTACATTAAGTGACTTATCTGTCTGAATTTTTTTCATCCAAACTACATAATACTGTATATACTGCATGAAGCAAATATGTGAAAGGTTAAAGTGCTATACAAATATGACCTGGCAGTAGAATAGATTTGTTTGCAAGAAGCAAACCCATCCATACAACATTACCTCACCACTTAGCTTTTAGCTTTTACCTCTTTCAAGTAAAATTCCTTGGAAGAGTTGTCTTTCACTTCTTTGAAATTCTCCTCAAACACATCAGCCTTCCCAGATCACCTGACCACCAGAGTACAGCCTTCCACCTTCCATCAGTCCATGTCCTGTGAGCCACTGCCTGAGTGAACTCCACTTCCACAGCCAAAATCTCCCTGGAGGGGTGGCTCATAGCAGAACCTAATTTCTCATACTGTGGCCACCAGCAGGTCTACAGTTAGGATTTGGGTCAGGAAGATTTCCTTCCTAGGTCTCTTGGTTTCTAAGTGCTCCCATCACCCCTTCTGTGTGCCTCTGCAGAAGAAGCAGGAGGCAAGGGTGGGAGAAAGAGGGCTCTACACTCCTGAGTAATCCTCAAAGCCCCACTTCCAATACCCTTGCACTAAGGGGTGGAGCTCGAAGCAGGGATTTGCATAATTCCTTTGCTTTTTTTCCATAGGATTTGTCTTCTCTTGACCTACTACTTATATTTATTTTCCATATCATCCTAGTCAAATGCACAATTCCAAATGAGTAGTTAATTGTTTTATGCATTGATTTAGCCTTAATATATTGATCAAGGTCTCAATTTGGGATCTGGGGTTCTAAATATGTATGGCTATATGCACTTACCATTTTTGTCATAACAATAAGATGATAACACTAATTCTAAAACATCTTATCAACTTTTTTTCTACCTTGGCCAAGAAAAAAGCAAAAGCAAAACAAATAAGCCAGATAGAAAGAATGGCATGTGAACTTCCTCTTAGATTTTCATATTAATATTCCTTTTCTTTTATAGGTAATGAATATTCGAACAGTGCTGAACAAACTGGAAAAACCAGAAGGCCTTTATCCTAACTATCTGAACCCCAGCAGTGGGCAGTGGGGTCAACGTAAGTCTAAAGCTGAGCAATCCTTCTCTCTTCTTGGTACACAGCACCAAGCTGGGGCACAGGACAAGCTCAGTTCTTGTAAAGGAATGTTGACAAGGGGAAGTGAGTCTTAACCAGCCTTAGGACAGAGTACTGCCAGGAAACCAGACAGCTTGCTTTCTCAGATAGTCTGATGGCATTATTATAAGCAGGAAAAGGAAGAGCTGGCCAGTGTTTGGGGGACTTCCTCTTGTAGCAGGCCGGCCAGGTGGTTAGAAGGGACGTGCAGAGTCCTCTCTGCTGACGACAATGATACCACTGCCCGGAGCGGTACCTAGACCACTCCACTTGTGACATTTTCTGTTTTGAGTTGGGAAATTAGGAGCACAGGGAGAGATCTTTCTCTGTAATTTTAAGCTGGCAGGTAAAGTTTTCTTGTGAGTGACTTACCATTAGCATAGAAATAAGTGTCAACTGAGACCTTCGGATGCCAGAAGCCCTCACTTCAGATCATTTCCAACAGAGGTAGAAAGGCTTGGAATTTGTAAAAGGAAATGTTCTCAAGCTAATTTGCAAAGCATGTGAAAGGTTAAGTAGCAATTGAAAGCGAGTGAGATAGCTATGTTGAAGGAATTAACAGTCTTAAATTTTTACTCTAATTTTGGCTTTTTCTTTATATTAAATAACATATTCTTAGATAATTAGACCTCACGATTCTTTTAGAAGTACTTCCTTTAAAGAACAAGTTAATAAGAAAGGAGAAAAAAAAGCATGCTGAATCCCACATCTCCTGTTGGTTAATAGCTAGGAAGAGCCTGGATCTAGACACTTGAGATCATAATGAAGGTGCACACTCAGTGTGGTCTACAGGTCACTGGAAGTCCTAGACACCTTTCCTGCTCCATAAAGTCAAAAGTCATTGAATACTGGGACACTTTGCTTTTTCCTGTGTGTGTTTGCACTTACCCTGAGTGTAGCCGTGGTGGGTAAGACTGGTAGACACGGTAAGAGGATCAAGACAGACACCGAAACATACTAATGCTCACAGGAATTGCTACCGTAATTAAAATATACCATTTTCACTTACTCATGTCTTGATGAAGCAGAGGAATAACTTTTGATCACACATAAGTGTATTGCAATGTAATCACATGAGTGACTTCTTGTTATAACAAACTACCTGGCAAAAGCAATTTGATGAAGGAAGGGTATATTGGGGTTCATAGTTCACCAGTAATCATCTATCATGGTGGCAAGAGCTTGTGACAGCATTCAAAGTAGAGGGATGCTCTGCTTTCTTTGTTCTTTTTATTCACTATGGAACCCTAGCAACAGCATGAAACCACTTGGGTCCTCAGGCTTCAATTAACCCGATCTAGAAACTCCCTCACAGGCATGCTGAGAGGTTGGCATCCTAAGTGATTCCAGATCTTGCTGAGTTCACTATCAGTATTAACCGTCATAGTAACATTCTGTGTGAGGGGATAAAAGCACACAGAAGCATTTCTGAGACACACAGTTGCATGGGGGAAACCTTGTGTTCCAAGATTACATTATTGCTGATGTTTTTCCTTGCTCTGGGATGGTACAACTACTCTTTCATGAGTTGACATCTTTGCTTTCAAGTATAACTAAGAACAGCTGGAAATTCAGGTCTGGGTAGTTGGTTCTTAAACATGAAAAGAAATGATATTTGTACCAGTGGTGGTAAATTTTTAGTTCCAAACTAAAAATTAGAATCTTAGAAAACTTGTGTATATCACAATGAGCTTAGCTCCATTAGTTTCCTGATGATATTGCCAGTGACTTTAACAAAGGTGTTTTTTGTTCTTATTCTGTAATAAAATATGTCAACATGGCATAGCTACATAAAATCAATATTTTCCAAACAACCAGTTCATGCTATTAGGAAATCATGCATGACAAAAAGATCACTAAAAGTACAGGATAGTCGATAAATTTCAATGTAGCACAGTATAAAAGTTTATTGAGGGGCTGTAGAGCTGGCCTCCTGGTTAAGAGAACTTGCTGCTGTTGCAGTAGACCCAGGTTCAATTCCCAACACCCATGTGATGGCTCACACTGCCTATAATTCCAGTTCCAAGGGATCTAACACTCAATTATGCCTAATGAGGACACTGGGCATACACATGATATGTGCACATGTACAAGCCCTCACACAAACATATAAAATCATTCATATTTTAAAGTTCATTGGTATAATTTGTAACTGTACACTGTAGCTAGTCTTTAAAAAGCATTTTAACCTTTTAAACACCACATGTTAAGTTTTGTTATTATATCAAAAATATATTAAAATAACTATATGCATGTAGGGATCTATACTCGTGTGCATGCATCCAGGTACCATCCACCTTGGTTTTTAAGATAAGGTTTCTCCCTGGCCTAGGACTCCATGGGCTAAGCTAGCTGGCCAGGAATGTGCTTATCACCACCTTCCCAGTGCTGGTATTACAAGCATGTAACACCATGTCCAACTTTTTAAATATGGGTTTAGATAGATCAGACACAGGTCCCCAGGATTGTATGATGTCCTGGTGAGGTCTGTCTCCAACCCCTGAGGAGCTGATTAAGATAGACTTCCTTTTCCCAGCTGTACAACTGTGCAAGACCTACTTTTCTTAGTGTACTTTAGCCAAAGCAATGTATACTAATGGATCAAAGTTGGATCAGACTGAGCATCCAGCCAGGAAAGCAAACATTCAGGAGATTGGCAAAAAGAAAATGTAAAATAGTGTCAGTTTTCCCACTGATTTTTTAATTTGTAAAATAATATTTTTAAGGAAAGTGTCATTTGTTGTTTAATAACTATTACTTTTAGTGAATCAACAAAAATGTTCCTGAATTCTGTTTCAGTTTTCCAACAAGATTAACACTGATAGATACTATTCAAATGAACAATTTCTTCAGCATACTCATCATTGATCCCTAAGAGTGGGAGGGGCGTAACACTAACATCTAATGTCTGAGGCCCACATGAATATTAGAATACAAGACAGTTAGATATAATTTTCTAAAAGGGTGACCAGTGTTAAGAGTTCTCCTAATCTCATATTTCAAAAGTTTAGGAAAAGCCTCTTTGCTTTCCGGATTTTTTTCCCTTTAATTTGGGATTTAGAAGTCACTATAAAGAGGGATATTAAGAGGCAGTTACATCAGAACATTGTGGCTTCACCATCTTGGTCACCCATATGCTATATATTTGGCTCTGTTTCCTGGTACAAAGCATCTTTTATATTTGGATTGCTTATCAGCCAATTTTCTGATGGAAAAACAAACAGGATTGATGAGTCTCGTGTTTGCTCTCTCCCATCCTCTATCCTATGTTTGTTCCAGCCATAAGGAAGAATTACTTCTATTTTTATTTCTCAACCACTGCCTACTTGGCCATATCTAGGTCTTAGGGTTTTGTTTGTTTGGGGGTTAGTTTGCTTTTGTTGCTGCTGTTGGTTTATTTTGTTTGGTTTTTTGTTCTGGTTTGTTTTTTATACTATTTCCTCTTTTATCTTTTATCTAATTCCTCCACTAAGCTCCAGATCGCATGCCTTTTCTTCCAGAAGCCTCTTTCCAGGCTCTGGTCGGAATTTTTTAGCATCTAATACACCTCTTCTTCTTCCTCTCTAGCACAACACTTTGGGTTATTTCTACCCACAGCCCCCTTCCTGATGCTCATGCACACCAATTTCCTAAGGATGCAAAGTTTTAAAGGCTGATAAGGATGCCATAGGTTTGTTTGCCAACCAGGAACACAGTACTTCGTACCTACTCAGGGTCATTTACTTGAATGCTTTGTGTAGCCATGGGTGTTGTCTGACCTTTCATTCTTTCAGTAATAGTTCTATAAACAATTGTCCCAGCTTCTTACCTAAAGAGCATCCCAGCCTACAGGTGAGAAACAGGCTTTGTGACCATTGCTGTAGATGAGAGGCAGTGTGCGTGCATGTGTGCGTGCATGTCTGTGTGTCTGTGTGTGTCTGTGGGTCTGTGTGTCACTAGCAGTACTAAAACAATGCTCTAGACAGATAAATTCAGATTCATAAGAAGCCAATTAAAATTAAGGAAAATTATTAATAATTTTGATCCTCCTATATCTTGATTCTTTTACTACTTTTGTTAGCATTTTGTTTTGTTTTTCTTTTTATTTTAGATATTATCTTAGATATTATTTTATTTTAGATATTAGGAATCTTTTTATGGCACCTATTCCTATCAAAAAATCACAATTTACTGTTAGAACTGGGAGGCATGAAGATACCGAAGACACCACATTCTTGTTTTTCTAGAGTTGGTGGTCCTGTCCTAGAAAAATCTGGCCTCCTCCTCTCCCATATCCAAAAAGAATTTACAGAAAACTCTGTTACCACACAAACTGTCATCCAGACGTGGAAAAGTTCAATGAATGATAAACTAAATTAACAAAAACATGTTGTACCTTTTATTCTTGATAGCCAGAAGTTTTTTTTTAAATTAACTAACACCAAAATTGACTGAAATAAATATATAACCCTTTTTTCTCTAAAAAAACAATCCTCCCTTTATTTTGTTATTTTTTAAAATAATTCCCAAGTTTGTTCTTCCATCATTATAGAATTATAACCCAAGGGGCAAACACCAAGCTGTTTCTGGCTGTTAGTTTTCTACTGTGTTGCTCTGACTCTGAAGGGCATGTCTGGATCATGGCCCATCATTCCCTATAACTTCATTTGGCCCTTGTTATTTTGACAGTAACCGGACAGGGATTTGCTTTGCCATGCATCACTTGCGTTTGTCTCCTACAGCCATGCTTACAACAGCAGGGCTTATTATTGATGAGATCCTACTTAGTCTATTTAGTTTGTAAATGTCAGAGGTTTCTGTGGTAATTTATTTAGGAAACCGTAAAGGTCATATGCTGCTATTTTAAGAAGCCAGACTTACAACTTTAAAAACATATTTTCCCTAAAATTAAATTCATATGATTCTGGACTATCCATAATAAGGAAATTGTATATTTAAACACTTAAAAATCAAGCCCTACGAGTTGGAATAGGTGTGGTCCTTATTAACATCACTATACAAGACATTGGAACATTGACATCACTTAGTATTAAGGGCTTTCCAGGGCCCAGTATGTATTGGAAACATAGGGACCTATCTCTGATCTCATAGATCTAGACTTGGTGAGGAGGCAAGGTACTTTGACTACATTCTGGAAGGAAAAGTGTGGCAAAGGTATGCACTGTCCAAAAGCTTATAAAGGAGGGGGACCCTGTGAAGTATCAGGGAGGGTCTCTTCAGGTATTGTGTGATCCTGAATATGATGTATGTCCATGACATTCAGAGAAAACAAGGTCCATAGAATCCCTGAGGGAGATAGATGGAAGCTGATCACTTTGAGGATCCAAAGGTCTATATGATAAGTGAGCAGAGGACAAGTGGCCAAAGGCGTGGAGAAGCCTGGAATCAAAGTTCTCCCTGGTCTCCAAAAAGCCAGGCTTGAAGGGCTTTGAGTCAGTGGTGACCAGACTGGCCTATGAGGAGGCTGGGTGGCAGGAGTGTGGAGAGAAGCTGTCATGCTTCTTTGAGTGAAGGACATGCTGACTTCCTGTCCAGGACAGTGGGCAAGACTGCATGGAGCTGCTGAGCCCTTGGCAGTTGAGGAACTGACCTTGCTATTCAATTTTGCTAAAACTAAGTAGAAATAGCATGCCCTATAAGAGTGAAAGCAGGAAATGCGATAATTGGCCACTGCAGTGACAAGCAGGAACTGTCCTTGTGTCTTTCCTGTTGCCACGATGAAACACTCTGACCCAAAGTAATTCATGAGGAAAAGGCTTTGTTTGGCTCACTCTTCTGGGTCACCATCCATCATTGAGAAGTCAGGGCAGGAACTTGAAACAGAAACCATGGAGGAACTGTACTTGCTGGCTGGCTCCCAGGCTTGACCTTAATTTTCTTATACAGCCTAGCACCACCTGCCTAGGGAGGGAGAGCCCATGGTGGGGCTTACACCAACTAATAATGAAAACGGTCTTTTGTAGATAAGCCCACAGGTCAGTCTGACCTGGACAATGTCTCAGTCTCTCACCTGGGAGTCCTCCTTTCTCTAGCGACTGTAGGCTGTGTCAATATGTCAGTTTAAGCTAACTAGGACAGGAGTAGTGGTGACTTGAGCCAGTATCACGGTGGTGAGAACAGAGGGGAATAGGGGTATTCAAAAGATACTTAGGAGCCATAGAGTGTAGAGTTCAGAGCCCACTGCCTCTGGGAAGACAGAGTCAGAGGAAATAAGTTTTCAAATGCCTATTTAGTGGCTCTTGCTCTATTTTGTTGGGGTTTGTGTTGCTAGGAAACTGAGCCAAGAGCCTTAGTTTATGCTAGGTAAGTGGCCTGCTGAGCTACATCCCAACTCATTGACCCCCTGGATTCCAGTGTGTGTGAATGGGAGGAAACCTGAGCAGGAGGGGAAGTTGAAGACAAAAAAAAAAAAAAAGGAATTTAATTTCCGATGTATTCAATTTTCAGCAGCCATGCAGATTTAAAGTGGACTTGTTGGCTAGGCGGCAGAACAGTACTTTATACCTAGAGATATGCTAATGCACCCATTAACAACCAAGTCAAGTAATATCCTTTTAATTTTAGATTTAGCTTTGCATTACGATACTCTGAAAGGCCATTTTGTTAATGTTCAAGTTCTCTCGATTGTGTTTGTGGATTTGGAAGTAGGTGTGCTTTAAAAATGAAGATCCATTTAGACTTGATGTTTTGTGATGAAAAGCAAACATCCAGATGTGGAGCCTATGGGTGGAATGGCTCACACTGTGCTCTCTCCTGGCCTAGATGACCCATTTTCTTGTAGTGAAGATGAGGACACCTAGATGGACTAGGTGATCTTTACAGTAAACCAAGCATCGTCAATGGCAGTGGAGGTGCACTAAGGGCCTGAGTGTCAGAAGAGAAATCGTTCTGCTTCTTCCTTCTTAGGGCACCACCCCATCAGCTCTCTCCACTCAGACGGAGAACACTAGAATTATCATATAGTCGTAAAAATGATGCAAAGCTAAGGAGCTTCTTGTTTACTAACAACTTTGCTTCTTTAATGCCTAAAGCTCTGGTGGAGTTTTCTATTACTCAAAACTAAATCTTAAATAATTTAAAGATAAACTCTGGAGCATTTTAACTTGTTTGCTGTTTGTGTGTTTTAACTAGAGAAGCAGGTTTTTTGAACTTGAAGTGACTCCACACGATTTCTCATCATGTTTGCAGAAGTACCCCAGTGACTACTGAGGGTACATCACATGAGTTCCCAGCCCATCTGCTCAATTTCAGCAGAGCTTTCGGAAGCAGGGATTTGTTAGAATTCACATGTTCCATTGAGCTGCAGCTGACAGGCTTTGAATCCCAGTTGCTAATATGATTTTGCTGCATTATCTGAATTAAAAGCTGAGTCACTCTGCAATCCATTTCCCTCTCTTTTACAGATCATGTGTCAGTTGGAGGACTTGGAGACAGCTTTTATGAATATCTGCTCAAGGCATGGTTAATGTCTGACAAGACCGATGTAGAAGCCAAGAAGATGTATTTTGATGCTGTTCAGGTAACCCAATATTTAAATTGTCTTCAATAGTCAGCTCTAATATACAACTTGCATATTAATTAGACCTTAATGAAAAAAAATAGAGTACTACATGAGTGGCTTATAAAGTATCTCCAGTTATGGAGAACTCAATTCTGCAGTGTAATTACAACAATAGTAACCATACTATTCATACTAGTTCTAACAAAGCAGTGAAAGTTATGGTTCAAATCTTACCTGAATCATATATCTAGCCAGGCATAGTGGTAACCCCCTGGACTCCAGCAACTGGGGGGTGAAGACAGGAGGACTACTGTGAGTCTGAAGTCAGACTAGGCTACATAGTGAATTCCAAGCTAACCTGAGCTACAGCCACCTGCCTGAAGAAAGGCGGTCATAGACCAGTAACCATGCTGGCCAACAGCAGATCATATGGAAGACGGTGCTCCCTGAAGATGATGCAATCTCCTAACTCATGATGGTGTCGTGTTACGTCCACACAGTGACATTGTTGGAGGGTGCATTGCTTAAAATATACTTGTTTCCGTAAGCAATGCGACTATGTTCTTTTCTTATAGCTACATTTTACATTACGGGGAAAGAATACTGGGTTTATATTCTGAAAATTGACTAAGTTAAAATTGCTGAAGATTCCTGGCAGTCTAGTGCTTCTGTTATTTGTACTCATCTCCAGAGATTTAATAAAAATATAGCTAAATCCACAGAAAGTTAGCCTTTTTCTTCAATGTACAGAACTTTTTTGTAATTGATACTATTGATTTATAGGGAAAAATTATTTTTCTTGGGGATAGAGAATTGAAATAGACTCTCATCTATCCCACAATGGCCTGGAACCTATAAATCCAAGGATGACCTTGAACTTCTGATCCTCCTGCCTCTACCTCCAAAGCACCTGGGATTTCAGGCAGAGACTGACGCACCTGGCCTTAGAAACCTGTGACACCATTTGTTTTAAAACTTTATTCTAAAGGTGTTGTCCTCTCTAATAGGTTTGGATAATTTGTTTGTTTAAATGTAATGTTGCTCACTTTGACCTTGCTAGCTGAATTGAGTATTCTGTTGAGGTCAGTTGAGGGCTTCAGAGAACAAAATAGAACCCTTCACTCTCATACACAGGATGAAATTCCTTAGGCTCAAGATGAACATCAGATGCAAGCTAGGCTGAGGTCCCTATGGTCCTGTCCTCATTTGGTGGCACTAGAGAGCTCTTTCCTATCAGGGTTGCTTTTCCTTCTCCCAATGAGGTTTTTTGGGTATTCATCTTAAGAATTCTTTTCAGTATAATCTGGTTTATATTGTGCCATCTAATTACCATCCTAGAAGACATTTTACCTTTTAATTTTAAGATCTTGAGATTCCGAGAAAAGCCATTTTGAAATATTGTTTGAAGCATTTCCCCCGCCCCAGTTTCTAGAACTGTATCCCCCTAACCGTTAGTGTATTCTGTTTAGACAAATAGTTGACAGGAAAATCCATTAAGAACAAATGAGGCAAAGAGTTTCCTATGACTCTTAATTGTAAAAACATTTTCAATCCATTGTACATTTTCAAGTTGCAGGGCAAATTTAGAAAAAAACAAAGTTCTGAGTTTGAAAGCAGTACTGGCTTCCACAGCAAAGTTTCTTTTACCGAAGTTATACTCTATTGCACCTGATCAACATTCCAGCATGGATTGGGAGGGGCTCACAAGCCCCCACTCCGTGCTGAGGAGCTATTGACAGTTGATGGCTAGGGGAGGAAGACTGAGTTTGACTGATTGTTTTCTTAAAGAGGACATGAGGTAGGGAAGGGAGGGAAGAGAGAGTCTAGAAGGAGTTAGGGAAGGGCTTGGGGAGTAAATATAATCAAAATACATTGCACGTATATATGAAACTCCAAAGTATAAGTAAAACAAATATTTTTAAGATTATTATGAGTCAGGGGCAGAGATACACACCTGAGGCCTAAGGCTCAGTTGACTTGAAGAGTTCAAGGCCAGCCTAACATAACAAAAACAAAAACCTGCCTATATCAAGAAAGGATGCTGTGTGTTATTGTTCTGAACTGTTGAATCACTGGGGACATGGTCACTCAGATTTATTTAGCTTTAGGTGGATTCAGATCGGATGTCTTGCAGTGTGCTTTAACTATACAATACTTTGACCTCTCAGCTGGTTGTTATAGCCCTCCCAGGATGCCACACTAAGAATCCATTGTGGGGCAAGATACATAGGCAGGTGATATATCATTTAAGAGTTCAAAGGCCTCATCAAATTAACACAAATATGAAAGAATTAAATTAAAGACTATGTCATGTTCTTTTCCCCAGTCAATTTCCTATAGATTTGACACAAAAATTATTAGTCATATTTATATGAAGTATATTTACATTTTTCCATTTCACACAAAACCATTGCTTTGGGCACAGATCTTCATCAACGTTTGTTTTAGGAAGAAGCAAGTTGGTCAGAATCATGCAAAAATAATATAGTACTTTATTCACTCTGCATAACAGGGTAATAATGTTTCTTTAATCTGTGCTCAAAAGCTATTACTCTTGCCATGTAGAAAGAATAATTTCTTGGGTGATGAACAAGTAGCTGCTTGAAGGACTTCTCTGCAATTTGTGCTATGAGAAGTGTAAATAGCTAAGATGTTCAGTTGCATTAAATGAGAATGAAATATTAATGCAATAACTAAATCATCAATAAAATTAGCTTAGCCACAGCTAATGAGCACAGCAGTCTTCATTTAGATCTTACTGTCTTGCTTTCATTTGTTTATTTCTAATAAAGGAAGAGAAGGTCTCATCTTCCTTTATTAGAAGGCCTGCCTATTCATTTTCAGTCATTCTTCTCTCTTGTCCCAAATGTGCATCCTGAAAACCCTCCTTTTCCTGGCAGCATCCCCATCAAAACCCTTTCCTTCCTATGACATGATGAATACATCATTCTCTATCAAAAACAAAAGGAAATTAGTAACCCAAACACACTTCATACTTTTTTTATTTTTTAAATGCAAGGGTTATTTTATTCTAACCTAGTTTTTGATAACATCAATGGTTCACGGGCACAAATAAAATATGTCATATAAATCACTTTTGTAAATATTTTTATCCTAGATTTAAATATCTTCATTTGTTTCAAAGTTTTAACTGTGCAGTAGTATGTTCCTTAATAGAATAAACAGGGAAGAGCTTGATTTAATTTCTCATGTGTGTGTGGGTGCACATGTGAACACATGGAAGTCAGAGGTCAGCTAAGGGGTCATTCCTCAGGAGCCATTGGCCTCATTTTCCTGTGTGTGACATGATCTCTCATTGGCCTGGAGCTCACGGATGAGGCTACCCTGGCTAACCATCAAGGCCCAGGCTTCTGCCTTTCTCCTCCCCAATGCTGAGATGACAGCAAGCGCCAGCACTCCCAGCTGTTTCCATGCTTCACTGACTGAGCCATCCCCCCAAGCCCTCCAGTCAGCTGCTTATTACCACAGAATAGATGTAAAAGAGTCACTTACCAGAGCTAGTTTCAATATGGACTTCTTGTAAATAAAATGTCTTCACAGCAGATAGTATTGTTCCTGTTTAATAGATGAGGCATATACTGAGACATACACTAAATAAGTTACCTACGGTATTCCTCGACGGTGTCAGAGCTAAGATCTGAAGCCATGTAATCTGACTAGGAGAAAACAGTAACCTCACCAGGCTGGATCTTAGACCCTGGCACGTTCTAATTTACAGTGGGACCCAGGCTTTGTAATAACTCAACTCAGACATGGCCTCAGCGGCCCATCTGTGAGAAGACAATGGTATTTATCAAACGAAAACTGTAAGTGTTTGGTCATGAAGCCAAACTAAGCCAATGGGGCTGGGCCAATAGAGAAAATTCTAACCAGGTAAAGTGAAACATGTGGTAGAGGAAAGAATACAGAAAGCAGCAACATTTCAGATCAATTTAGATTTGTGACAACAAACTCAAATTGCAAATAGTATTATATATATATGTGTGTGTGTATATATGAATATATATGTTTTTAATTATAGTATAAAACTGAGAGTGTTGTTGTCACATACCTATAGCCCAGCACTCAAGAAACTGAGGCAGGAGGAGAATTGCTGTGAAAAGCCACCCTATGTTATGTAGTGAGTTCAACTCAATCATTGATCTGTGGCAAAACCATGTCTCATAAAGAAAAAGATGAAAGAAAGGGAAATAGTTGATTATATAGTTAAAATATAGAATTTATTATGAATTTGAGAAAAATCACAGACTATCAAAAATCTCCTCTTTTCAGGCCATTGAGACTCACCTGATCCGCAAGTCCAGCGGGGGACTAACATACATCGCAGAGTGGAAAGGAGGCCTCCTGGAACACAAAATGGGCCACCTGACCTGCTTTGCAGGGGGTATGTTTGCCCTTGGGGCAGATGGAGCTCCCGAAGCCCTGGCCCAACACTACCTTGAACTTGGAGCTGAAATCGCACGCACCTGTCATGAATCTTACAATCGCACCTGTAAGTACTTGTTACTCTTCATTCACAGTCCATCCCACCAGGCTTTGATTTCATTCACTAAAGAGCTTTGCCATAGCCATCATAAGAAGGAGGAGGGGGGGAGGGATGGAGGGGAAGAAGAGAGGGAGAAAACCCACTGTGAAATTTGATGTTACTAATATTTTAAAGGAATTTAGGCCTTTACTTAAAAGTCTGCTTTTATACAAAAGACACATCTTAGTGTGTCAAGTAACAAAATACATAAGTCATACAAGTTAAACCAACCTCATTTACTGACTTTTGATTTACCTCATTGATTAAGGGTCTCTGCTCTGATACAAGAAACTTCCCCAAAGTTCCATAAGAAGATAATATGCCTGGCTTCCTACTTACAAAATAATCACTTAAACACAAAGATTAAGTAAATGGCCCTTTGTGACATACTAAGAGAATTCACAACCACTGAGTTTGCAGCTACCAGCAAATGGTTTCGGTACTTTATAAACCTCTGGTGGGTGTTCACTAAATCAGAGTTAAGTGGAGAAAGAAGAAAAAAACAGATCTGTTGCCGCTTTCTGAAATAGATTCTTTGAGATGACTCAAATTTAGAAGCATATTGAGTATTGTGTATCATATGGTGCGTATAACCAGCTTCAGGATGGTGAAGAATTTTGCTATTCTGTCAAGGTTGTGTAGCCTTAATCAGAAGGTAACCCATGTTAACTGACTGCATGTGCTTTAGTCATGAAGCTGGGACCAGAAGCTTTCCGATTTGATGGCGGTGTGGAAGCCATTGCCACGAGGCAAAATGAAAAGTACTACATCTTACGGCCTGAAGTCATCGAGACTTACATGTACATGTGGCGACTGACTCATGACCCCAAGTACAGAACCTGGGCCTGGGAAGCCGTAGAGGTGATGTTTTCATTTGTGTGTTTCTTACAGATCAGTTTCTTAGTGCAAAAATGTTGAACAGCATCTGCAATCTGTCATGGCAACTTTCCTGAGACTTCCATAGCTTTATCAAGTTTGTTCCTTTCAGGCTGTTTTCAGCCAAGTCACTCTGTACTTGGGCTTTAGCTTTTTTTTTTTTTTTTTTTTAACAGAGTTTCTCTGTGTAGCTTGTAGACCAGGCTGGCCTCGAACTCACAGAGATCCACCTGCCTCTGCCTTCTGAATGCTGAGATTAAAGGCATGTGCCAACACCACCTGGTTTGTAGGCTTTAGCTTTGCTTTTTGGAGCAATGATGTGACTGTATTACAGGTAGACTTGAACACTGGAGGTTATCAATCTAGACAGAAAGATCTAGAAAGGCACGTTACAGGATGAAGATACCCTAACTGTAGAAAAAATGGTTGCTTTATTCCACTGGGATAGTGGGCAGCTTCTGGATGCTCATTGCTGACTGTTGTTTACTTGAAATCACTGCTTCAGAATCCATGCTTTTCCCGTTGGTCCTTGGGCTTCGATGAGACCCTACACTTTTTCCTGGAGTAAGCCACCTGCTTAAATCTTAGAAGAACTCGGAGAACGGTTTCCCTTTGCAAGGGTTCTTCAGCAGTTTGATTGCGCTCATCTGTGTCAGTGTGGTGCTTTCTCAGTTTTTCTTAGGCCCCTTCCTATCACTCATGCAGCTTTATCTCCCTCATCTGTTGTGTTAGGTGCCAGAGGAGTTCTCTGCTACATATGTCAAACCATGTCTAGTTTTCAGGACTATTATTCTAAAAGGAGTGGGAGGAAATGTAGACAAAAAGAACACGCAAATGCTTTAATTACACTCTGTTCTCCCCATTCCTTGTTAAAGCTGGCTGCCTTAGACACTGGTCTTGAAAGGACTTCTCAGAAGTCTCAGGAAGCCCATGCAAGCTTACCTAACACCTTAGGAAGCCATTGATTGAACCTTCCTTACTGCTCTCTTCACTTAGTGTGTCTGTTATCACAGCCATTTTAAGCAAAATATTCAGTTTTCTAATTATATTCAATCAGTAGTGATTCCACTGGTTTAAATTTACATTTCCCCCCTCTGGAAGCAAATGCATTTAAAGTGAATTCTGAATAAGCTTCAGTGATAAAAGGCTAGCTGTGGCATGGCCTGCAAAGGCATTGTGAACTTGAATTGCAAATACTGGTTTAAAATGGAAACATCAAGAATAACATATTTCATCAGGTCTAACACCAGGGCTGGGGGCGTGGTTCATTTGCTTGAATGCTTGCATTACAGCACATAAGCCTGAGTTCTGACTCCTATAGCAATGCCCTGGGCATGGCAGTGCACACTTAGAATCCCAGAACTCCAGAAACAGCATGATAAGAAGTTCAATGCCATTCTCAGCTTTATACTTAGTTTGAAGTCATCTCTTGCTACATGAAGATCCTATCTCAAAAGTGAGATTGCCAGTGTCATGTCCATAAGGACTGGCGACCGCTGCACACAGCTGGAACTCACTCATTGCACAGATCTGGTTACCTCCCTGTTCCACTCTTCTTTACTTACTCATTTCCAGACAGCTCAATAAACTTCCTACTTACAGCCTCTGTTGCATGTTCTTTTTAAGGGAACTCAACTACATTGTGGAAAATTGTCAAAATCACCTAGTATAACTGTCTCCTGGAACACAACATTCTGGGTTGGGGAGATAGCTCAATGGTTAAGTACTTGCCTGGCAAGCATTAACCCCAGAGTCTAAATCCCCAGAACCCAGAATCCACACAAAGTCAGGCATGGTAGTTATGTCTCTTATCCTAATATTCCTGTAGCAAGATGAAAGGCAGAAATCAGAGAATTCACAGAAGTTCATGAGCCCTGCTAGCCTTGGGTATGTGACAAGAGACCTATCACAAACAAGATGGGAAATGAGAATCAATATCCAAAGTTGTCATCTGACTTGTGTTACACATACTCATAAACACACACACACACACACACACACACACACACACACACACACACACACACACACACACACACACAAGTTTCTTTTCCTATTGATGTGGTAAAAAAAAGACTCTCCAAAGGCTACTTAAGGGAAAAAGGGTTTATTCTCTTATTCCAGCTCACAGTTTAGAGTTACAGTCCTCAGTGAGGAGGTCAAGGCAGCTAGAGTTCAAAGTAACTGGTCATGCTGCTGAGATGTGCTGTTGCTCACTGACCTTTGTCTACTTATGTAGTCCAGGAATGGTGCCACTCGGAATGGGTGGGTCTTCCTTCCAAGTACAAGATAATAAAGATAAACCCCATAGGCATGTCATCTCTTGGGTGATCATAAAGTATATTGAGGTGGCATCACTGTCACATACACACATATACAGAGAGAGGTCACATACACAAAGAGTGAGTTTTTTTGAAAGACAACATCCATCTCATTTTTGCTATGTGGATGTTATTCATCAACTCGAAGATCTTGTATTAAAGGAGAAAGAATTATTAACTATAAAGTTGTTCCTTCCATATTTGAATGGATGGAAATTGTTAGACAGTTACTCTTTTTGAAGCCCAAATTCATGTTTTGGTGGATTGGCAGTCTCTCTTCTGCATTTCAGGTTTTCAGTTCTCTGAAGATAGCAAGTTCTCCCAGCACAGACTGACTTGGTTTCCAGCTGTGGTCGTTCACAGCTTGGCAGTGTAACTCAAAAGCCCCTCTGCAGTGAGATTCCCCTGGCAGGGGCCAATTGTTCTCTTAGTTGATTCATCAAACCTCTGGCCTACACTGAAATTATGGTCAAGCAATGTTAGTTACCTGAGCTGAGTTCAGGGTCTTTCACTCAATACTTGTTTCACTTCTACTCTGTGTTTGTACAATATTTATAAGCCATCATCCTTACCTCACAAAAACAAAAACAAAATTCTTTTCCCAGCATTCTTTCACTGATACATTCAGTAAAATTGATTTCCATGTTTTCATCAAATAGGTTAATTATTTAAAATACGTTAGAGCAGTGTATATGCCCCTGGAGCCTGCCTTCCTGGATAAGCAGCAGTCCACCAATCATACTCATTCGAGCACTTGTAAACACACCTAATAGAAGTAACCTGTAGATGGAACTTAATTTGCTATCTCTCAGTAATGGCAAGAACGATATTGCATTTGTCCCAACTGAATATGTGACAGCTGGCAGAAGATTTATCTGAATAATAGTTGTGCCTGTATTCAAACCGATTAGGTAATACCTCATCTAATCCACAGAAGATAAGAGCTTGTGGGTCTTTTGCTTTCTTCACAGTTTTCTTTGATGTCTTGAACCCCACCCTTTCTGCACCAACATCCTGAATCTGAGAGCAGAGTTTCTCTCCCATTCCTGCCTCTGGTTCCCCAGACTTGATCCCTCTTTCCAAACATTCTTTGATGTGTTTATGCTGCCTGAGTCATTGTTTTTGTCCTTGAGACCTGAGCAATCTCAAGCAAACAGTCTTAATGGCATTACTGCTTGGGGTTTGGCTCTTGTAAATCTCTATGGATCCACTATCCAATTCCTGTCTTCACAGAAATGCTCCCTAAAAGTCTATTTTGCTGTTATTCGGCCGAACCCCAAGTTATAATCAGTTAGGATCAAGATTATCTTCTATCCATGGGTTCCAGTTACAGTCATTGTGGAAAGTCTGAAAATCCTGCCCTCTGTAATTAGCACATTGCAGCATATTTGACCCCTAGTAAGCTAAACCCTTACACAAAATGCCCAGAAGCTGAGCACCACCAGAGCAGACTAGTGAAGTAATCTGCCCAAAGTGTACCTGCTTCCACTGCTGAGAAACGGCTACAATCAGAATTCATCGTGTAGACCCAGTTTCAGTCCTGATGTCTTAACAAAATCTCTAAACAAAAGTCTAAATGTTATCAGTGCATATTATACAAAATATGAGGACTCAAGATAGCATTTCCAGCCCATGCATACAAGTGCTTTGTTCCTGCATCTGGACTTTGACATGGGTATTTAGTTTTATGAAAGGAAAAAGTGTCTTCCACATTATCCTTACTTGTAAATTAAAAATAATTTACATGAAGCCACAAAAACTTGAAACTAGCTAGGCTGCGGAAAGGCCTTTGTATTGTGGCAAGCATTTCTTTGCCTTCATTTATTCTCACAGCACTCCTATGTTGGGGACACTACCTATAATAAGGGATTGGGGGGTACACAATTAGAAAATCTAGGCTTGAGGTCAGTGTCCGACTCTCCCCAGCTTGTGTTCTGTCTTGTCTTAGTTCGGGTTTCTATAGCTGTGAGGAATCACCATGACCAAAAGCAAATTGGGTAGGAAAGGATTTGTTTTGCTTACACTTCATAGCACTGCACTGGAGAAAGTCAGAGTAGGAACTCAAGCAGGGAAAAGAACCTAGAGGCAGGGTCTGATGCAGAGGGGTGCTCTTCACTGGCTTGCCCCTCGTGATTTGCTTAGCCTGCTTTCTTATAGATCCCAGGTCCACCAGACTAGGTGGTGCCACCCACATGAGCTGGGCTCTTCCACATGAATCACTAGTTAAGAAAATGCTCCATAGGCTTTGCCTACAGCCTGACCTTATGGGGGCAGTGTCTCAGTTCCCTCCTCTCATAATACTGTAGCTTACATCAAGTTAACATAAACTAGCCAGCACAAGTATTGTGCCTGTTGTCCAATGAGAACTTATGGAAGGAAAAAGAATGACCAGGTACAAACTGTAAAGAAAGGTGTGTTGTCTATACCCAAAGGCAACTCTTCATCTCTTTTGTTTTTCTGATTTTTTTGTTGGGGGTCAGGTGGTTGGTTGATCAGGTAGGTAGCTAGATAAGCAGATAGTTGGATTTATTTTTGTCATTTGTTTCACACAGGTACATTAGGTAGCACAGACTGGCCTCAAACTCACAATCCTCCTGCCTCAGCCTCCTACACATTGAGATCAGAGACATGTGCCACTGTGTTCACCTGTCAACTCTTTACCAA